CCACACCCTCAACTTTGTGGGCTTGGAGCCGCTTGATGCGGGGTGGCCGGCGCAGTGCTCAGGGTCCGTCCTTGCCACGCAGGGATCGTCATGTTCGCCGTGGGTGTCGGCAAGGCCGTGGAAGAGGAGCTGAGAGCGATCGCCTCCGAGCCGGTGGAGCAGCACTTCTCCTACTCGGCAGACTTCACCACCATGACCCACCTCGTGGAGAACTTCAAGCTGAACATCTGCCCAGGTGGGTGCCCCTGGTCACACGGGGGGGGTCAGCCCCGAGCCGGGGGAGCCCTCCTCTCTCCGCAGAGCCAGCGGGCTGGTTTGTGTGTCTGTCACCCTGTGTCACGTACCCCAGGGCCCAGCTGGGCTGGCGTGAGCCTGGGCTGTCTCTGGATCTCACCAGCCTGTTGTGGGTACAGAGGTGGGTTTCACGGAGGGATTTGGAAGAGGAGAAGGTGGAGCTGGGGGGTTTAATGCAAAAGTGGGGTTTAATGCATGTGAGCGGCCACCCCAGTGCCGTTGCATGGGCAGAGACTGGAGGTCACACCCTGCCTTGAGGGACGCTGCCCCAGCTCTGAGGATGGCCATCTCGCCCAGGTCTGCGCTTCCGCTGCTGGCTGCAGGAGCATCACGCCAGGCTACTGTGAGGGTCTCCCTGCTCTGGGGCAGGCTGGGGCTCCCCAGTGCTCTTGGCACCCCCAGAGGCTCCCGCGGGGCTGCAGACGTGGGGTCAGCGTCCCTCCCGCTGACACCCTGGCTTGGAAGCGAAGCAAAGCTCCGCACTGGCTATCCTCGGCACGCTGTGGCCGCGTGCGCGGCAGCTCTGTGGGATGCCTGGCGGGATGCCTGGCAGTGAGCTCGCTGGGCTAGCAGGGATGCAGCCTGGCAAAAAGGAGCGAGGCTGGAAAAAGAGTGGAAGATGGGATGAGAGCCACGAGGCTCAGGTCCGGCCCCAGCGGGTGGCTGCAGGGACAAGGGACTCCTGCTGTGCGGGAGGAGGGGAGAGCTGGCCACCGCGGGGCCGTGCCTCTGACTGCACCCAAACCCCCACGGTCACAGAGGAGGGCAAAGGGGAGACGGAGATCCGCAGCCCGTGCGAGTGCGAGGCGCTGGTGCAGTTCCAGACGAACACCGTGGCCATCCTGCAGAGCCTGACTGAGAAAAATATCCTTTGGGGTGATGCCTGGGCTTGCCGGTGTGCAGGGCACCCTGGGGACAGACCGCACGCAGGGAGGGGAGGGATGGATAAATGGGAGCGAGAAAATTTTAGGCTCCTTCAAGGGGAAAAAGCCCTTTGCCCACCAGACTGTCCGGCTCACGCTGTTTCCTTAGCATGTTCACTTGCTCAGATGACGGCCAGACTCGAAGACTTGGAAAAGCAGATTGCCAACAAGAAGTGATGCTGGCAGAGGGCTGCAGCGCTCAGACGGGGCACGGGGTCATATGGTAGCTACGTGGTGTTGTTATTGCTAGGTTATTGTAAAGCATCAGTGTTTGTTCTTGTACCGCAAAATCTCAAGGGGGATGCAGAGCGTATTTAAAAAAAACAAAAATCCTAAAAAAAACCCCAAAAAAGAACCCCCCTGCTGTAAAGCCAGGGGTTCAGCCATCGCTGTTGCCTCATTCCTCCGACCCGGCAGGTCTGGGATGAGGTGGGATGTCTGTGAGGGCAGGCTGGGCTTTGGATGAGGAGACGTGACGCCCAGCCCTTTCCCAGAGCAACTGGGGCGAACCAGCCCCAGCGCAGCTGCCCCGGCCCCAGCGCCCGGCAGCCTGCTTTGCAAGAGTGAAAAAACCTACAGTGATCGCACCCTGAGAGCTTCTGCCACCTCGGCGTCTGCTGCCAAGTGGTGGGGCAGGGAGAGCCGGGCGCCGTGGGCAGCATGCGGGGATGCATACTCCCCGGGGATGCACGGGGCCCGGGTGTGCGCCCATGGGAAAGCAGTGGTAGGAATTGGCAGATCCCCTTGCCCCTGTTTTGGCAGAATTGTTTTGGAATTGGTCATTAGCTTGTTTGTTTTTTATCACATAGCAAAATGGTACTAATTCTTTCTATAAATATCTAAGTGTGTGTGTACATAAATATATATTTTGAGAGCAGGGTAGTGCTATTTTTAAACACTTTTATATACAGAAATTTCTATGCCGACAATAAACACCCTGAAGATTTGTATGACACGTCCTTCTCCTTTCGGCTGGGCTGCAGAGCCACAGAGGCATCTCTGCATCGGAGCAGGGGCCTCCAGCTTTTGCAAAGGTCCCCTGTCCTCAGGCTCGAAAACACCTTTGGGAAAATCCTTGCTCTAAGGCCATCTCAGGATGGCCTCGGCTGGAAGGAGCCAGCACGGCATGGACACTGTGTCACCATTCCCAGCGTTTGCTTTGGAGCCTGTGCTTTGTCGGAGCATGAGGAGCTCAGCATCTGCTTTACGGGGGTGTAAATGTGCCATGTCAGTGGTGCAGGGCCACTTACACCCTTGGGGACATGGTCCTGGGTCATGTCAGCTGGGGGTGGGAGAGCCACTCAGTGCCCTGGCTGGCTGCACGGGGAGGGATGCCGAGGCAGCTGAGGACCCATCTCCCACGGGCGCGTGGCACAGAGGTGTTTTTTTAATCACAGAAGACCCCACGTCCCACACCTGGGGGAAAGGAGGTCTCCCCTTAGTCCTGTCTGCTGCTGGATAGGGATGATGGGTTTTTGGAGGGGTCCTTCATGTACCCACCTTGCTTGCTGGCCCTATATGCAGGGGGTGAGAGCAAAGCGGGGCTCAGAGGAGCTGTTGCTTCTGAACTAGCAATTCGTGCGGGAGGGAGTTGTGTGCCGGGGGGCTCATGGGGCTGCGCAGGGCGCTGAGCAGCCCGGGGCTGGAGGGAGGAGGAGGAGGGAGGAGGGTTACAGCCTTGGGCTTGCACCACTTTGGCACAGGTCCTTTTCCCCCAGAACAGTTAGTGGCTCCGGCACCCACCTTGGCCAATTTGCTTTGCAGACCCTGGGTGTTTCCACTGCCATGAATATTCCTGGTGGGTTTATAGGGCACTTTCGGGGTGGCTGAGGGGGCCACATCCTGCTGGCCCTGCTTCCAGGAGCCGTTTGCTCCATGGGACTCATGTCCTGGGGGGTGTGAGCTGCGATGTGGGAGAGGTTCTGTGTGCTTGAGGCTGGGATTTGGAGCTGAGGTGCAGGAAGCTGAAAGCAGGTCCTGGGCTGGGGTGTGGGGCTTGCTGGGACAGCCCGGGGGAGAGGAGTGGGAAGTGCTCGGGTATTCACTTTACAAGGCGAGGGGTAGCTTCTTCCACATGCAATCGGAAGCAGGTCGGGGGGGGGGGGGGTGGTGGGT